TATTTGTGAATATTTTTAATCCAATGTCTCTCAGAACGTAAGCAATTATGTCACTCAGCATTTTTTAATCGAATTCATCCCAAGTAAGGTAGTAAAGCCACTAAGACACAAGGGCTACTGGATGTGAAAGAGTTAGGAAACAGAAACATTACTAAGGAACGAGAACAAAAGAGGAGTAATGAGGAGGACCACAGATAGTGACTGACATTACATTTAAATTTTTTAAGATCAAAGTGGACTGGAAAGCATGGAGCCAGAAGAGAGTTCCACAAGCGAGAAGTGCGAGAAAAGAAACTGTTAGCACAGAACTTACGGTTAAATCTAACCAACTCAACTGTAAATTGGTGAGACCTCATCGCCAGTCTAGTACCGCGCTTAAATTCATAAAGTCGAGAAAAAAAAAAACAATAATTATTTGTACAATGACACAAAATGGAGGATGGGGAAAAGGACGGTCTTCTTCTGTCTTAACTTTAAACTTAGCTAGCCACAAACACTGAGCCAAACATACCACAATATTCCTAACACCAAAAACAACACATTCTTACTTAACTTTCTTACTACATCCACCGTAATACCTCATTGTCTCTATGAATATCCTAACTAGTCCCCATATGTAGAATTCATTGTCTGTGGGTGGGGGGATAAAACAACAATTTAAAAAAAAATATCCCCAATGAGTATTTACAATATGAAACAAAATTATTTACAAAAACCTAAGCCAAATAATGTCTGAAAGGCTAGAAGATCACATCCGAACAGTTGCCATAAAAATATTTATAGAAAAAGCACAGGGAGACAACTTTAAGGAGGTGGGAAAGTGACTGAAGCCGAGCCACCAGATCAGGACCGATAATATTGCTGATTCTTCTTTGGAGTTTATCAAGACTCTCTAGCAATATATAGCAGGAGCACTAGACTATATGTGGCAGCAATATTCCGAACGAATGGTTAACTTATAGATATGTAAGATAGATTCTGGAGAGAAAAATTATCCAGTACGACACAGTGTACAAACTTTTTTAGCAGCTGATCTAGTAATGGATTCAATATAGTGTCTTCACTTCATGTCAGCCAAGAAGGTTATCCCGATGTAAAACCGAAAGGCGTCCCTCTCAGGTGATTAATAGAGAATAGTTTAGTTTTGGAGACGCTGAAATTAACAAGCCATCTTTTGTCTGAAGGTTTATTTTGGACATCACCCGCCAATATTACCTTATCGGATTGATCTGACTTAATATCGAGACAGATGTATATATTTTTTCTTTATTATGCGAATTATTTACACTATTTGTATTGATCGGGCTGTTGTCCCCATCTTTGTTGTTATATTCACGACGTTTCATAGCACCAGTCAACTCGTACTTGGAAATAAACAATGCAGTTATTAATAAGAAGAGCTAAAAAAAATTGAGATTAATACATGCAAGATATCATAGCTTCAGTTTGACTCCTTCATCGTCAGCCTATGAACTTTTCAGCCCAACTCGTACTTGGAAATAAACAATGCAGTTATTAATAAGAGCTGAAAAAAATTGAGATTAATACATGCAAGATATAGCTTCAGTCTGACTCCTTCATCGTCAGCCTATGAATTTTTTCAGTCCAACTTGTACTTGGAAATAAACAATGCAGTTATTAATAAGAAGAGCGGAAAAGAATTGAAATTAATGCATGCAAGATTTCATAGCTCCAGTCTGACTCCCCCATAGTCAGCCAATGAACTTTTCAGCCCAACACTCGTACGTCGTAGAGAATTTTGAATGTTTTCTAGTTTTGAATTCTTCAAGCAATTTTTATTATCTGTGCGAGTTATATATTTATGGATTACATTTTTGTGTATTGCCTGCCGCTTTTAATGTAACTCGATGGTGTGTGGTTGGAATAAAATATGTTTTTATGTTTTTTTTTATTGTGGCTTGAATCGGATTTGTAATGTAGGTGACTGTGATTAGCTGTCCGTAAAAACAATTTTATTTGCTCATCAAAGACGTGATTAAGAAACATTTTATTACCAAATGTTTGTTTAGTAGCGGATAATTCTTCAGAGATTATTACTACAAAGATATAAATTTAGCACGGTTGGTTAGGTTTTTTTATGGCTGCTGTCTTGTGTCGGTAAGGACATTTGCTTTGCTAGTTAAGGAGACAGGTGCGGTTTATTTCCTTATATTGACGATTAAAATTAGTGGCGACTTCAGTAAAAAGCATTTTCTCAGACCATTAATTTTATTATATATATCCTCTAGAATTCAAAAGTTTTAAGCCACTTCCAGAATCAGCATGGAAAGTATATGACAGAAGGGTAAAAAATGTAAAAGAGCTCTTAGAGTCATTGAAGAAAGAATGGAATCAATTATTTTGAATTATATTTTGAAAAATTTTAGAATGAATGCCAAAAATTTGTGTTACTGTAATCAAGACTAAAGGTGGACACTTTGATGAGAGCAAAATTTAATCATAAAATGTTTTTTTTTCTTTTTGTCATAAGATTTCGAATAAAAAACATTTTTTAAGAATGCATAATAATTTTCTCTTATTTAAAATACAAAACAACATTTTGGGCCAATTTTAAAAATTATCAGTTTTCTCCTCAAAATACTGAATTATAGTGCATATCTCTCTCTCTCTCTCTCTCTCTCTCTCTGTATATGTATATATATATATATATATATATATATATATATATATATATATATATATATATATTTATATATATATATATATATATATCTACGGCCGGGTGTAACAACAAAGTTGTCCAAATAGTTTAACAGCAAAATTTATTAATTCTTAGATTAATCTATGAACCGTTGTATCTTAGAAATGATTAAAGATATATTACTGGAATTCTACGAGGTTTTTATAGCACTATTGAAACCTGATTTGAATAAAAAGAATGCATAATTATTCTCCATAAATCGTGATAAAATAATTCATAAACGAAGATGACACGTTAATCAATTAATTATAGTTCAGGATCGGAAGCTTATGAAGGCTAGAAATAATGTTCAAATATATATATATATATATATATATATATATATATATATATATATATATTTCCAGGATCATTTTCAACTTCAAGATGATCATCGCCTTCTCTAACTTTCTAATTTTCTGTCCTGGAGTAACAAGATGCCTCACAGCCTTCACGTTTTTCTTTTCACTACTCTTTGGACTGTCATAGCTGAGACTGCTTTTTCTTGTGACAAACTTCTTATTGATTGTGTTCGATCTTTCCTAATTGATCTCTTTAGCTGTAATTTGAAATGATGATCCCTCTTCCTGTTGTGACCTCCTGATCCAGTTTTCCTTTCTACTGTTTCCTCTTTTTAAAACTTATTCATTGTTCTCTTGATGGTTCTTGAATGATCTTTGAAGATGGAAGCCAGAGTATGAATGTTGGTACCATTACTGAAGGCCTGAATGATCTTTTTCCTCACACCATTGCTCTGTTGGGAAGACAGTGGGTCTTATTCAAATCGATTTTAACCTGTTCTTTTTCTAGTTGAGTAATTCAAAGGGTTTTTTTCACTGATTCTTACGACAAATGGTTTCAAGATGGCTGAACACCTTATCTGAAAACCTGGAAAAAAAAGAAACTCAATTAGTTTAGTGCTTTTTTCATATATTAAACATTTTGTGGGATGGAAAATTATGCTGCGGCATCACCTGGACAATGTTTTTCTTACACCCGGTATATATATATATATATATATATATATATATATATATGTATGTATTATAACATGAAAAAAATCCGTAATGGATAATTTTTTTCATGTTCTCAGCAAATTGTCAACAGTTTTTCATTTAAAAGTTAATGGATAAACTTTGTATAAATAGTTGTACTAATGAACAACATAGTTTTGTATTACTTGCACCACTGAAGATGATCATGGAAGAAGCTCGAAAGTACTTGGGAAAATAAAATAAAATAAATTTAAACAGCTATAGCACTTTCTCCCATCCTTTATCATCAATACACGGAAGGTTATTCGTGAGTATAAACGGATTTTGTTAAAAATTAGCAGACATAACATAATATCTGTAATTTATTCAATTAGACATACCTAAATGAGAATTTGCTGCCTAAATACAAAAATGTATATATATATATATATATATATATATATATATGTGTGTGTGTGTGTGTGTGTGTGTGTGTGTCTGTGTGTGTATGTGTGTGTGTGTTTGTGTGATGTGTGTGTACATTTCTACGTGTGTGTGTGGGAATGGATTCTTATCTGAACTTATGTGTTGTGAATTTTTAAAGTGATGTGCAGTATGATCGTTGTCATTCTATTTCGAGGCACTCAGTGAGAAACAATTGTGCGGGTTTTGAGGATAAATGGCTTAAATGTGTTACACACGAGCATGATCTTTGTAGAAGGCGGCAGTCAAGGAATGCAAATTACCAGAAATGCGGAATGTACGGTGTACACTGTACTTTCCAAGGCAGGATATGTCGATCGCGCCAAGTCTCCTTGCGAATCCACAGAAACAAGACGCGCGCTCACATGTCAACATCCTTCTTCAACGCCCAGTGGATCTCAACTGTGCAATGTGCAGCAAAGTTTCAAAATCAGCATCAGGTTTAAAAGCACACATGGTACTGACATTCCAGAAGAAAAAAAAAGAAAACGGTTTGATCCGGATGAAGAAGTCAAGTTTTCGTCTGCCATGTTGGCTGCAGGACGTGTAAGTCATCTGAGAACGCACTGAAGAAGGAAGATGAAGATGGCGAATCGTCGAACAATGCTGACGATGTTCATCTGACAAGATGGTGAAATTAACGTCCACACGTATATACAAAGTTTAATTACGTGCTATTGTGTGTATGTATGTGTGGAATGCAAAGGCTTATTTCTACGTTGTTTGAACGTGTGTGTGTGTGTGTGTGTGTGTGTGTGTGTGTGTGTGTGCAAAGTGAACATATATTTTTATTGCATTTTTAATACTGGTCTCGCAAGTGGTTGTCAGTTAGCTTCGTTTTAATGAAGCTTCGAACTCTCTCCGTCTCTTTCTCTCTCTCACCTCTCTCTTCCCCTCTCCCTCTCTCTCTCTCTCCATCTCTACCCTTTCTCTCTTCCTCTCCCCTCTCTCTCTTCCCCTCTCCCTCGCTCTCCCCATTTGTCTCTCCTCCTCTTTCTCTACACTCTCTCTCCTCCTCTCCTCTCTCTCTTCCCCTCTCCCTCTCTCTCTACTCCTCTTTCTCTCCCCTCTCTTTCCTCCTCTCCCCTCCCCCTTTTCTCTACACTCCTCTCTCCTCCTCTCCTCTCTCTCCCCATTTTCTCTTCCTCTTTCTCTACACTCTCTCCTCCTCTCCCCCTCTCTCTTCCCTCTCCCTCTCATTCCCCATTTTTTCTTCTCCTCTTTCTCTACACTCTCTCTCCTCTTTCTCTACCCTCTCTCTCCTCTCCCTCCCTCTCTCTTCCCCTACCCTCTCTCCCTATTCTCTCTCCTCCTCTTTCTCTACCTCCCTCCTCTCCCCTCTCTCTCCTTCCCCTCTCCCTCTCTCTCCCCATTTCTCTCTCCTCCTCTTTCTCTACAATCTCTCTCCTCCTCTCCCCTCTCTCACTTCCCCTCTCCCCATTTCTCTCTCCTCCTCTTTCTCTACAATCTCTCTCCTCCTCTCCCCTCTTTCTCTTTCCCTCTCCCTCTCTCTCCTCATTTTTCTCTCCTCCTCTTTCTCTACACTCTCTCTCCTCCCTCTTTCTCCCCATCTCTCTCTCCTCTTCTCCCCTCTTTCTCTTTCCCTCTCCCTCTCTCTCCTCATTTTTCTCTCCTCCTCTTTCTCTACACTCTCTCTCCTCCTCCTTCTCTACCATCTCTCTCTCCTCTTCTCCCCTCTTTCTCTTTCCCTCTCCCTCTCTCTCCCCATTTCTCTCTCCTCCTCTTTCTCTACACTCTCTCCTCCTATCCCCTTTCTCTCTTTCCCTCCCCCTCTCTCTCCCCATTTCTCTCTCCTCCTCTTTCTCTACACACTCTCTCCTCCTCTCCCATCACTCTCTCTCCCCTCTCTCCCTCTATCTCTCTGTCTCATGTCTTATAACATGTGCAGAGGCAAGGGCACTGTACGTAGATGAGAAAAATACCAGACATGTCTTCTGAAGATGAAAATACATGTAAGGCAAACCGAAGATGGTTTGAAAAAATGAAAAGGTGTACCGGCATCCACAGTGTAAGAATGAGACATGAAGAGTCTGCGAGATCTAAACCTTCCTTGTTTCCGAGGTGTTTTGGAGTGACCGAAAATACAAACATGAACCGAAGAGAATTTTGGAAAGCTCACTTCATTACACTTAATTGCTTTAATCTCATTAATAAAACCCGGGAAGGAATCATAATGATTATATTTATTTGCATTATTTGTGCATCATTTGTGTTGAAACTTGAATAAAACATGGAATAATAATAATACAACACAAAATGTACTTAAACAAAATGTATTGACACAAGAACGTGTACACAATATTTACAGATAGTTTGGTATATTCTTGGGAAGACCGTTCCTGTAGAATGGGTTGACTTCGTTGCAGTCGGGCAGAGTCTCTGGATTGGATCTCTTCTTCCTCCCCCGTCTTCCCGGTACCAACCATATTTATATGGTCGGTACTCCACTATGTAAATTAGGTGGATCGTACCACAACAATTTGTTAAATACTTTAATTTTGGGGAATTTTTATATCAATATTTTTGGTGTTTGGAACGAATTAATTTAATTCCTATTATTTTAAATAGGGAAAATTCTTTCGACATACGAAATTTCCAGTTATGAATCCAGTCCTGGAACGGATTAAATTCGTAGGTCGAGGTTCCAGTGCATATATTTTTCTTATAATTTTATTATTTGTAGTAGTAGTATCATGTGATGACGATTGTATTATATGATGATGCCGCCTAAACAGACACCATTTGACACATTGTTGAAATTCAGTTTTAAATTTGACCTTTCTATCTCTTTACTTTCATTTACCCTTCATATTAACTTATTCTCTCTTCTTAATGTAATCCCCCAACCCAAGAAAACTTTTCTAGGTCAATTTATTTTTGTTTCATCTTTGTATACCTCTCAGGGTATATTGATTCCATTTCGAAATCATTATATTCACTTACATGCTAATATGCTATTAAGACTCCTCTTCTCTCTCCGTGGATAAATAACAGGACAGATTGGGTTCTATAGCCTTGGATGGCAACTGCTCTAGGAGAAGGACAACTCTAAATGCAAAATCTGCGGAGTGAAGTACACCAAGTTACTGTATTCGGTCCTTCAAAAAGTGTGGTTGGTTCTGCACAAAGCCTTCACCACTATAATCATATGTGTTGGCTGTTGGTTCCTTCGATCCTCATACGTGGAGTACAACGGGTGTGCCCACTATATATATATATATATATATATATATATATATATATATATATATATATTTAAATAAATTGTTGGAGGTACAAAACCGTAATAATGCAAGGAATAAATACGAATTATTTCTTAATGGCATTATGAAAAATGAAAAAAATAAAAAATAAGAGATGATGACACTTTCAAAGCAGACCAACCGGTTTCGTTCCCAAGCTCATCAGGGTCGACTGGGAACAATTTCAAAATTATTGCAATATAAATTGACTCACTCACAAAACCTACATGCAATTAAAACTTTAAAAAATGATAAGATTAATGGTATGAGGGAAAAAAAATATATATATATATGTATATATATTTTTTTTAGACCGTGCGAATATGCACAGTGAAAGGGAAAAAAAATTATAACAGGGAGAAGGACAACTTTGAATGCAAAATCTGCGGAGTGTAGGGGAAATTATGATAGATGCTAGAGTGTAAAAACGTGAAGCCCAAGGAGACAGTCTCTTTGCTTGCACAGAGACGGCTCCCTGGACCGAATATACAAAGACTCAAGTGCCCTCATATGAAATGAAGAGTGCGAACTGGACAGTACGGTAAACCAATTCGGACTAAAATTCTTCGCACAATCCTTGCAATTTATTAAATGCTCAGTGATCGCTGACCGGAAGATATATATATATATATATATATATATATATATATATATATATATATATATATATATATATGCGTTCAATCACGAAACAGACTATAACCGCTTGGTATTGACCTCAGTGTATTTTATAATTACATACGGTCTATCTCTGATATTAATAACTTTTAGCGATATATACACCATACATTATATCGAGACTATTTATCATATATACAAATATACATCTTTATAATTCCAAGCCTTTTTCATAATGGGTACTCAGTACTTGATTTTCAAGGTACTCGATTAAAAGCAGTATCTGTGACCAAACCAATTATTGAAACCAGCTGTAGTAATGACAGCTTACACAAAATATTATCAGCAAAGAGTAAGAGTGGACGAAAACCAAAGTTAACTGAAAGAGACCGACGAGATTTAAAAGGAATTATGGCAAAATATTATCAGCAAACAGTAAGAGTGGACGAAAACCAAAGTTGACCGAAAGAGACCGACGAGATTTAAAAGGAATTATGGCAAAATATTAGCAGCAAAGATTAAGAGTGGACGAAAACCACTCAGCAAAATATTATCAGCAAACAGTAAGAGTGGACGAAAACCAAAGTTGACCGAAAGAGACCGACGAGATTTAAAAGGAATTATGGCAAAATATTATCAGCAAAGAGTAAGAGTGGACGAAAACCAAAGTTGACCGAAAGAGACCGACGAGATTTAAAAGGAATTATGGCAAAATATTATCAGCAAACAGTAAGAGTGGACGAAAACCAAAGTTGACCAAAAGAGACCGACGAGATTTAAAAGGAATTGTGGTAAAATATTATCAGCAAACAGTAAGAGTGGACGAAAACCAAAGTTGACCGAAAGAGACCGACGAGATTTAAAAGGAATTATGGCAAAATATTATCAGCAAAGATTAAGAGTGGACGAAAAACCAAAGTGTTGACCGAAAGAGACCGACGAGATTTAAAAGGAATTATGGCAAAATATCATCAGCAAAGAGTAAGTGGACGAAACCAAAGTTGACCGAAAGAGACCGACGAGATTTAAAAAGGAATTATGGCAAAATATTATCAGCAAAACAGTAAGAGTGGACGAAACCAAAGTTGACCGAAAGAGACCGACGAGATTTAAAAGGAATTGTGGCAAAATATTATCAGCAAAGAGTAAGAGTGGACGAAAACCAAAGTTGACCGAAAGAGACCGACGAGATTTAAAAGGAATTATGGCAAAATATTATCAGCAAACAGTAAGAGTGGACGAAAACCAAAGTTGACCGAAAGAGACCGACGAGATTTAAAAGGAATTGTGGCAAAATATTATCAGCAAAGAGTAAGAGTGGACGAAAACCAAAGTTGACCGAAAGAGACCGACGAGATTTAAAAGGAATTATGGCAAAATATTATCAGCAAACAGTAAGAGTGGACGAAAACCAAAGTTGACCGAAAGAGACCGACGAGATTTAAAAGGAATTATGGCAAAATATTATCAGCAAAGAGTAAGAGTAGACGAAAACCAAAGTTGACCGAAAGAGACCGACGAGATTTAAAAGGAATTATGGCAAAATATTATCAGTAAACAGTAAGAGTGGACGAAAACCAAAGTTGACCGAAAGAGACCGACGAGATTTAAAAGAAATTATGGCAAAATATTATCAGCAAAGATTAAGAGTGGACGAAAACCAGAGTTGACCGAAAGAGACCGACGAGATTTAAAAGGAATTGTGGTAAAATATCATCAGCAAAGAGTAAGAGTGGACGAAAACCAAAGTTGACCGAAAGAGACCGACGAGATTTAAAAGGAATTGTGGCAAAATATTATCAGCAAACAGTAAGAGTGGACGAAAACCAAAGTTGACCGAAAGAGACCGACGAGATTTAAAAGGAAGTTGACCGAAAAACCGATGAGTATCATCAAAATATTAAGCAAAGAGTAAGAGTGGACGAAAACCAAAGTTGACCGAAAGAGACCGACGAGAAAAAGGAATTATGGCAAAATATTATCAGCAAACAGTAAGAGTGGACGAAAACCAATGTTGACCGAAAGAGACCGACGAGATTTAAAAGGAATTACAAAAATATTATCAGCAAACAGTAAGAGTGGACGAAAACCAAAAGTTGACCGAAAAGAGACCGACGAGATTTAAAAGGAATTGTGGTAAAATATTATCAGCAAAGAGTAAGTGGACGAAAACCAAAGTTGACCGAAAGAGACCGACGAGATTTAAAAGGAATTGTGGCAAAATATTATCAGCAAAAGTAAAGTGGACGAAAACCAAAGTTGACCGAAAAAGACCGAAAGATTTAAAAAGAATTTGCAAAATATTATCACAAACAGTAAGAGTGGACGAAAACCAAAGTTGACCGAAAGACGAACAAGATTTAAAAAGGAATTGTGGCAAAATATTATCAGCAAAGAGTAAGTGGACGAAAACCAAAGTTGACCGAAAAGACCGACGAGATTTAAAAAGGAATTATGGCAAAATATTATCAGCAAACAGTAAGTGGACAAAAACCAAAGTTGACCGAAAGAGACCGACGAGATTTAAAAGGAATTATGGCAAAATATTATCAGCAAACAGTAAGATTGGACGAAAACCAAAGTTGACCGAAAGAGACCGACGAGATTTAAAAGGAATTATGGCAAAAATATTATCAGCAAACAGTAAAGTGGACGAAAAACCAAAGTTGACCGAAAGAGACCGACGAGATTTAAAAGGAATTATGGCAAAATATTATCAGCAAAGAGTAAGAGTGGACGAAAACCAAAGTTGACCGAAAGAGACCGACGAGATTTAAAAGGAATTATGGCAAAATATTATCAGCAAACAGTAAGAGTGGACGAAAACCAAAGTTGACCGAAAGAGACCGACGAGATTTAAAAGGAATTATGGTAAAATATTATCAGCAAACAGTAAGAGTGGACGAAACCAAAGTTGACCGAAAGAGACCGACGAGATTTAAAAAAAAGGAATTATGGCAAAATATTATCAGCAAAGATTAAGAGTGGACGAAACCAAAGTTGACCGAAAGAGACCGACGAGATTTAAAAGGAATTGTGGCAAAATATCATCA